ACCTAGATTTTGATTCGATGTTTCATGGTGGTTTGCGATATTAACCCTTAGGTCCAGAGTCCTAAGTCCTCAGTCCAGAGGTCCAGAGTCTATACGGATTGGCCATATAGTTTTGTCTTACACTAGTCACAGGATCGCAAAGGGTTAAAATCATTATGTCTATTGGTAGCAGCCGGTAGTAAATTTAGCTACAGTATTAATAAAAGTCGCAAAAACTCACAATAGTCAGAATGCAGATGAAATTATTTATCGCGTTTTCTTACCACGACTTTCACATTTAATGAGTTCTCGATCTTTCGGCCGTATAAAGCAACTTGCTACAGCAAGGCTGTGACAAAGTCGCGAAAGTGACAATTCGGCACAGACAGAAGTTCCGACAAAACAACAATCGTCATATATCTTCTCTCTCTCTCTCCCCCTCCTTCCCCTCTTTCTCTCTCTCTCTCTCTCTCTTCATTTATATACAGCTGACTCTGATAATTATTACACCATGTCTGTACGGAGAAATGCGAACGGGCTCTTAGATGTCAGAATGTCGGCGCGGGGCACGCGTGATGCGGTTAAATTCCACAAACGTCTTCACGTACTACCTACGTTAAACTAAATTTCATTGTTATATGAAGTATGTTAGAGATTAGGATGAAGCATTGAAACTGCTTTGCCAATTCGATATCCAAATGTTGCAAATTCATACTTTTATATCGTAAATACGGAAGGTGTAAGGTGTACTCTAAAAATGCTGAGAGCCAGCTGTTTTTACTTAATAATATTGAATAGTTAGCGAACCGCCCTCGCTTCGCTTCGGAAGCATTAAATTTTATTATTGATAGCCGAGTCCCGCGATGTTACCCGCGGCTATTGTCGTACCGCGGGTGACGCCTCGGGGCAAAGCTAGTCTAAATAAAGTGACCTAAGTTACTCTTTATATCATCAGCTACCTATCAGTAAAAGTCTCGTCAAAATCGATCCAGCCGTTCCAGAGATTAGCCGGAACAAACAGACAGACAAAAATTGTAAAAAATGTTATTTTGGTGTACTACTTCGAATTTACGTTTCTATCTATTTGCTTAAATCGTAAAATTAAATCAATTATGTCCACGATTCGCGAAAACCGAAGAAAACACTAAAGCTCGGTAAGCTTGAGAATCGTTCTGAAAACTTTTCATTCTACTTAAAGTCTTTTCATTGCATGAATCTAGTAAAGTTCCTTAGAGGCCCAGTTATAGCCTAGCTTTGTTCCTTTGTTGAATAGCCTCGGGAAACGAGCCTCTTTGTTTCAATTCAACTCGTAGAGATTATTACAGTTGTTTTTGTTCATTTTCAGTCATTTACATTGATTTAAATAAAATTGCGAAAGAAATTAGTGTACGGCATTCTCCGAGTTTGGTACAGGTAAACTATAAAAAAACGTGACATATTTCTATATGTATATCTATACATCTAAATAAAATTTGAGTTTCTGTTTGTAATATTGAAATACCCGTGTGCACTAACAAAGGGTCCTACCACCCGTAAAAAAAATTGGTTGTCTGAAGTTCGGTTTACTGATGATAGTTGAACGTGACAACGTCATAAGAAAATACGCCTCAGAGCGAGGTAACGCCGCATGAGTCATGTGTTTTTCGTGCGTGCAGCCGGCTCCATCGAATTATAAGACGTTGTCACGTCAAAACTTACAAATAACAAAATTTCTCAATTTCATTTTTATTTAATTTAAAACTACCGACAATCCGTTTTCGTTGTATCATTAACACAAGGAAGTTTCTCTACCAGGATTGACGGCGGAGCCTCGTCATAATCATGACTTTTGTTTACAGTAAGCCCGTTGTCAGCTTATAGCCAGGGGTTCGATACATAAAACTAACTGTTTAATAGTTTTATAATAAAACTAGCCGTACTCGCCTGCTTCGCCGGGCATTTAAAATTAACATTATCATTTATTGTCATTATTATTAGGGAGTCCAACACTCATATAAATATTAGCCTATCCATTAAGTACATGTATTTTCTATATGAATACCAAGTTTCAAGTCAATCGGATGCATGGTTTAGTAGTTATAACGGAACATCCGTAAAAACCACTGTAGATTTATCACTACATAGTATAAAACAAAGTCGCTTTCTCTGTCCCTATATCTGTCTCTATATATGCTTAAATTTTTAAAACTACGCAACGGATTTTGATGCTGTTTTTTTCAATAGATAGAGTGATTGAAGAGGAAGTTTTATATATATAATAACATCCATTAAATAGTGGAGAAATCAATAATAAATTGCAGTTTCCGAAGCGAGCCGAGGGCGGGTCGTTAGTATATTAATATAGAAGAAACATCGCGTTGAAAGAGCGACAGATATCATTGAAGCTGCTCTTTAGGCTGGTCTGACACATAAAATTAATTGCTTAATGGTTTTATATCTTCAAAAAAAAAGAAACTTCGCGTAAGAGATAGCGACAGATAACTTTTAACTCCACTTTGGGTTAGTTGTAGTCTGACTTGAAGTATAAAAAAAAGATGTATGGTGTCGTGGGACACCGGATAGCAACGAAGTTCCTTATTATAAAAATAAAACCGTTTAACAAAAAACTTCAGAGGTGTCAAGGGACACCCGGATGGAACGAAGTTCCTTTCGATTAATTAGTGAAGGAATTGTAATTTTTTTTTAAGTTATAATAATACATTACGGCATTATGAAGAAGAAAAAAACAATACTATGAACTAAATTACTATTGTTGAAACGCTATCTCGAGAAACTGTACTCGTTACGCGGACCAATCGGATACGAGCAATGTCACGCGATAAGCGCCTACATGTTGATTGGTCAGAATGACGGATCTAAAAAGTGTCGTGACAACTTTTCGTAAGAATTTTTTCCGTCTAGCCCCCTTTCACAACGCGCGATAAGGAACTTCGTTCCAATAATTTTAAGTTCTATTCGAGGTATAATGAAAATAAAGCTGGAGGTTTCGCAACAACCCACGGTCATTCGGTAACATGCGAACTTATTGTGGTACACTTCATTCACGGTTGTTTGCATAAGAGTTAGTGTATTGCGCAAACGAACGCTCTGAGATCGTGGTCAATGAATGATAAAAAAATATGTTACCAAAAATATGTTATTTTCACTGGTAGGACCTCTTGGGAGTCCACACGGGTAGGTACCACCACCCCGCCTATTTCCGCCGTGAAGCATTTAATGGGTTTCGGTTTGAAGGGTGGGGTAGCCGTTGTAACTATACTGAGACCATAGAACTTATATCTTTTTTTTTTTATATAAGTTCTAAGGTCTCAAGTGGTATCTCAAGGTGGGTGGCGCAGTTACGTTGTGGATGTCTATGGGCTCCAGTAATCACTTCACACCAGGTGGGCTGTGAGCAGGTCCAACTATCGAAGCAATAAAAAAAAGTTATTTTTTGTACGTTATACATAGTTAAGTCGTACACTATGTGCATTACTAAGAAAAATCTTACGTTACGGACGTTTTTTTCCGGTTAGGGTACACCTCCGCATCGTCAAAAACAAAAACAAAATATATCGCTGTGAAAATGTCGAAACAAAATTTAAAATCCGCAGTCCAAGATTAGCTTCGAATAAGGTGTCCCCGGTAATAAGGAAGTTATTATTATGAACAGAGTTCGTAGCTTCTTTGTTTGCATTATAGCTGTCATACCTCAGGAGTCCGCAACGTTCAAACAAGATCAGCTTTAAATATTAGTCTGGCGTATTGTGAGCCTTCGGCTGCGAAACGAACCAATTTGAGGGTTTTTTATGGCATCTATGGGTAAGTAGGTGCATTCGTCCGTCTTCTAAGGCAATCCGAAAAAAACCTAAGGCCGGTTTCTTTAGTTTTTGGTCCACATTTTTGTTACTGGTGGTAGGGCCTCTTGTCAGTCCTAGACCAGACCTATTTCTGCCGTGAAGCAGTAATGCGTTTCGGTTTGCAGGGCGGGGCAGGCGTTGTAACTATACTGAGACCATAGAACTCATATCTCAAGGTGGGTGGCGGCATTTACGTTGTAGATGTCTATGGGCTCCGGTAGCCACTTAACACCCGGTGGGCCGTGAGCTCGTTCTCCCAACTAAGCAATAAAAAAAAGAGTAGCTATCACAGAATACAAAGTATTTGGCGGATAACTCAATCTCGCTAACGACATTTTCAAGATAAGCATATCGAGTGGTGAAAGGCTAATTTGGTTTACCTCTCAATATATAAAAGCTCCCAAGTATAACATTCGGACCGTCGGTATACCGAGCAATTTGACCCGCTCATTAGAAGATCTTTCTTTTGACCGGCTATTTCTGCAGGACAACATAAAACTGGACGGATTGAGGAATCGGTGTGGCTCTTGCTCTCTCTCTTTCTCTCTCCTCTTTCTCTCTCACACACTCTGTTCTTGCGATCGAATCTACTAAAATAACGTTCGGTATTTAATCTACATATATTAAAAAAAAAAAACATTTATAGTCATCCAATTGATAATGACATTAATCTTTTAGGTTCCGTATGACGTATATTGAACACATGTAACGCATATGCTTAGAGCGCCCTCTGCGACCTTCAAGGATGTTTCGTTAATCAATCGGCTCAGATGATTCGTTTAATAATTAAATTGAAACAGATGGATATCGCTGCACGTTCTGACAATATATATTTTTGAAATAAATATCTTTAATATTAAAAAAAAAATCGATTCGAACTACATACAAAAAAAAAACATTTCCGTATTTAAGTTAAGTAAATTCAATAAGTTAATAATATCGTTGTTATTGTCATCGGACTTTGATTACATGTCGAAAGGTAAAAGGCTATTTGTTTTAAGCTACATTATTGAAACATCATAAGAGAGCCATTTAAAATTTAAAATTTGGAAAAAATATCATAACAAAAAAACTCCTTCAGCTATTTGAATGGAGTAAGCATAATTGAAGTTCAATTAAAAACATCGAACCGTTAATGCTAATACCAAATTGTTGTGTTAGCGTGTATGGGGACAAGTGATACTCAAGACGGCCAGTGACACACTAACATTTATTACAAACATAACATTTCCTCCCTTATCAGTTCAAGACACATTAACTATTAAGACACATTAACACTATTAGGACAAACAAAATTACAAGCCACACATTTAATAAAACTGTCTATAATTAACCCTAGGACGGTTACGTTTAGGAAACCTGGGCTCCCTAATATTTTGGGGCTCCAAGCTCGCCTCCTCTGCCTCGAAGAACAGATCCCCTTCTTCAGAGTCTTCAGACTGCGCGGGTCGACGCACTCCTCGCGTGACAGTTACGTGGCTCGGTTCCGGTGACTCCCGATTCGGCTGGTTGTCACATGCACTAGAGATTCCAGTGCGGCCGCTCTCCTCTTCTCTCTCCTCAGTTGCACTCTCTTCGTCGTGTGTGTGAGGTCCGATGCCGCTACTATCATCACAAGGCGACGACATCATCCCCGTTGCCGGACTAGCAACAGTTGGAGCAATAGAACCGCTCAAGTCATCCGCCCAGGTTTGACTGGCACCACATTTGGTTTTGCACGAAAACAGCTGTTCAGAGTGCCTCTTGAGTTGTATTGAAGATTTAAAGTCTTTTACAATGTATACGTTTTTACCAATTCTCTTTAATATCACACCTTTACACCACGTATATTTATTATTAACAAGATATTTCTTGTACATAATTACTTGGCCTAGCTCAAAATTTCTGACTTTCCCTCCTTTTGTTTTACTTTGCGTACACTGTTTAGATAAAACATAATCAGTCAACGAAGCAGATGAAGGCGACGGTGGCGAACGCGGGTTCATTAAATCTAAACGTGAACGTAATTTGCGACCAAACACTAACTGTGCCGGAGACATTCCTGTTGTTGAGTGAACTGAGTTTCTATAATCGAAAACGTATTTGTATAGTCGCAGTTTGTTTTCCCTAGCATTTGTACTACTCAACAAACAAGTTTTGATACCCCTTTTTACTATTTTCACATAAGCTTCGGCTTGTCCGTTGCTTGCCGGATGGTATGCCGGCGAAGTAATATGAGATATACCGTTTAGTGCACAAAAATTAAGAAACTCCTGAGAACAAAAATTAGTACCGTTATCCGTAACTACCGTATGAGGCAATCCGTATCTGGACATGTACTCATACATTCTTTCAATGACCGCACTAGTAGTTGTGGAAGCCATCTCGTACACCTCAAGCCACTTGGAGTACGCGTCTACTAGGACGAGGTACATCCGACCATTCAGCGGACCTAGAAAGTCTAAGTGTACACGGTAAAAGGGTTGTGGGGGGTATTCCCACGGGCACACCGGAGTGCGCGGCGGAGTCGGTCGTAGCTGCATACACACCTCACATGAGCTAATCATATTTTCTAGGGCGTCGTCTAAGCCTGGAAACCAACATCGAGATCGAGCTTCAGCCTTTGTTTTAACTATGCCCATGTGTGAGGTATGCAACTCTGTTAAAATACGGTGACGCAAACTCCCTGGTATCACCACTTTATGACCCCTCATAACGCAACCATTTTCAACGGACAGTTGCAATCTACATAAGTAGTAAGGCTTAACTTCTGCGTTAATAATTTTTTTAGGCCATCCGTTTTGAATATGTTTGATGACTTCACGTAATATGCTATCATTAATATGCAAATAAAATTTGCACGTAATATGCAAATAAAAAGCATTGTTAATTAAAAAGATAAAGCGAAATGTGGCTTAAACTAAATATCCTTTTACCTGTCGATGTGATTAATTTCGATGCAAAATTTAGTTTCACAGGTATAGTACAGGTACATTCAGTACGGTCAGGGACGTCTTAAACTAGGATGGGGCCCTTGGGCACACAAGAATTTTGCCTTTTGGAAAGGCATGTCGTTTTTACCATCGCGCCGCCCGCCACCGGAGTAGAGTTCATCCATACTACCTGGAGCCACTGCGGTCATCCACAGTGCGTTTCCAGAGGTCTTTTTTGCCACGTACCATCCGGCTATGGAATGAGCTCCCCTCCACGGTGTTTCCCGAGCGCTATGACATGTCCTTCTTCAAACGAGGCTTGTGGAGAGTATTAAGCNTTCATCCATACTACCTGGAGCCACTGCGGTCATCCACAGTGCGTTTCCAGAGGTCTTTTTTGCCACGTACCATCCGGCTATGGAATGAGCTCCCCTCCACGGTGTTTCCCGAGCGCTATGACATGTCCTTCTTCAAACGAGGCTTGTGGAGAGTATTAAGCGGTAGGCAGCGGCTTGGCTCTGCCCCTGGTATTGCTGAAGTCCATGGACGACGGTAACCACTCACCATCAGGTGGGCCGTATGCTCGTCTGCCTACAAAGGCAATAAAAAAAAAGTAAAATAAGCTAATTATAATAACAAAAATTTACTGAGTATGACCATTTATTATACTTAATCAAATACAGTAATAATATAATATGTCATTAATTATATTAGAATTGATTGATTTAGAATTGATGATATTAGATAATAGAATTAGACTGGTTTTTTGGTTGCGATTTCGATAACGGTTTCTTTCGGGATTTCTGTTGAGCAAAATCTTCTATTATAGGCATAGTATATGTCTTGTAAATACCTTCTGATTACTGATCTTTGAAAAAAGTGTTATGTGCCCGACAAAAATGTTTTGAGAATAAACGTGTGAGAGAAATTGTCGGTCTTTCGGGGCCCCTGAGAATGGGGGCCCTGGGCACGGGCCCCGTGTGTCCTTATGGTAAAGATGGTATAAGATTCCGATATAATATACATTTTATTTGAGTCCAAAGTTGTTTACACGCTTAATCGATGCTACTTCTAAAAGTATTATTTATTTATTTTTTTATAATTACACGTTCAAATTGTTATCGACACCTGCGTGATGTTTACTCGACATATGCAGCGCACGTGCGCGTCGGGCGCGTGCGTAGCTCCCTGCCATTGCCGTCTGCCCTACTGAGCGATGACCACACTTGCACACCCTACATTTGGGATAATTCTCTTAAGTTATAACGTCTACATCTACTGTTTCTATAATGTCTGGGAGAAATCTGGCGTGGATCATTTCCTAAGTAAACAAAACCCAATCAAAATTATTCTCTAAGCAAATGTAGTCAAGTTTTAATTTTATTATTTTTCTCTAATTAATATATCAGCTATCCCTCCTTTCGAACTGGAATGCAGCATTGATTCACGGCAGAAATAGGCAGATGATTCCTAGCTTGCGGGCTCACAAGGCGCCGACCACCAGTAAATATAAGTCCATGTATAACCACCATCACCTACGATCCTACCGGTCAATCGTTCTTGTCAAACCCGTCGCTTGCGACGAAGGGCTCGCCGAGTAAATTAACCCACAGACACAGCCGGTTTCTCGCCTGACCTTCTCAGTGGGTCGCGTTTCCGATCCGGTAGTAGATTCTGCGAAGCACTGCTCTTGCTAAGGTTAGTGTTAGCAACGTCGTCAGGTTTGAGCTCCGTGAGCTCACATACTTGTTAAGATTACGCTGAAATGGTCTCTCTAGACCATCAGCTTAGGGAGGAAAAAAATACGATGTAACGTAGCATTCATTAATTTAATATTGGGATTTTAGATACAGACCCCAACCCAAAGAGGTCATCCATTAATTACGTCACACGTCCGAAGTGTCACCGGAATGTGACGTTGTGTGACGAAGGGCAGGAGGAGGTCAAAAGTTTTCTGACGTCACACATTAAGATTTAAAATACGTACGGAAATAAATACTAATAAAATTATTGGTAGTCGTTTATTGTTTTTTAACTAACGACCATTTAATGTTTGGTTTAGTGCTAGTTTTTTATTTATTTTTTATTGCTTTGATGGGTGGACGAGCTCACAGCCCACCTGGTGTTAAGTGGTTACTGGAGCTCATAGACATACACAACGTAAATGCGCCACCCACCTTGAGATACAAGTTCTCAGGTCTCAAGTATAGTTACAACGGCTGCCCCACCCTTCAAACCGAAACGCATTACTGCTTCACGGCAGAAATAGGCAGGGTGGTGGTACCCACCCGCGCGGACTCACAAGAGGTTTTCAGCGGGTTTCATTTTTATTACACGAGCTTATGTTAGTGCTTTCTCTGTTACTTAAAATATCTGGCTTTATGTTGATTTTATTAAAGATTATTTATAAAAACAAGATAATAGTAAAAATAGCTTTTTCTGTTGATTCTTTTTAAATACCTACATGCATAAAATTGAAAAATGTGTGACGTCATATCAAGGAATTCTAAAAATGTGACAACCTATGACAAGGACATGAGGAGAGATTTAGAAGTCCTAAAATTAGCGTGACGTAATTTATGGATGGCCCAAACATGAAAAAATAAACTAAAAAAACTTAATACATACATTTCAATAATTAAAACCATTTTTACGACTTAATCGCGCGTTACCTCTTAATTTATATTTTAATATTAGTTCCGATTTTACAGTTTTCGTGGTCACGGGAGACTGTCGCACTAAACCGTAAAATTAGCTTTAACTACGACTCGCAAAAATCGAAGAAAATACTATGTTGTTGTTGTTGTAGTCCTAGGGTATCCCCGCTGGTACATAGGGCTCTCACAAGTTGTCTTCACTTGACCCTGTCTTGCGCTTGCTCCTTGAGATCATTCCAGGTCACGTTGGCAGTCCCCATCTCACTCTCCACGGTGCCTCGTCAAGTACGTACAAGGCGACCAGGTCTTCTCCTGCCAAGCGTTGACTCCGCTGCGGCGTAGAGTATGTCCTATCCAACGCCATTTCCGAAGGGCAATGTCTTGCGCGATGGGGTGTTGGTCACATTTAATGATCCAAAGGTCTTTATTAGAGATAGTGACTGGCCAGAATATGCAGAGTATCGACATCAAGCACTTATTTACAAATACCTGCAGTTGGTTCGTGAGTGTCTTGGTCACTCTCCAGGTCTCACATCCGTCAAAACACTATAGTTCCATTTAAATGTCAACACGAACTTATGCAGACTTATCAAAAAACCTCGAAATTTACACACACGTGTTCTTGTATATTTTTATACGCTAAAACAAAAATAAGCATTAATACAATTTGTTTGTTAAATATGCTTTTAATTAATCTGCTCGTATTTTAAATGTTTTTACGTTTAATGCATTATGTACCACAAAAGTTGTTTTCGATGGGTATGGCATTAAATAGTACAGTTTGCAAAAAAAAAAACATTTCATAAAACAGTTTTTTTCTTCATTCTACCTATCCTAGTAACCCCGAGGGGTTATACTAGCTCTATAAGATACTGTTTCGTTGAATCGTCCGCCGGATCTGAATTGCGATCCACTGAGTAGATCCGGCGAGAAACTCAGAAAACTATCTCATTTTGACATCTGTATACGACAGACATTTTTATAGCCTTCATGACCTTTCTGTATTGCGTATGTAAATAAATTCAAGCTCTTTTTTTTTCTACCTATGCTGATAGTCTTGAAAGGCTAAATCAGCGTTATCCTAGCGTGTAGGTGAGCTCTCGGCGCTGAAACCGGAGGTGTTGCTAACACTGGCCCTAGCATGAGCAGTGCTTCGCAGAACCTACCACCGGATAGGAAACGGGACCCAATGAGAAGATCCGGCGAGAAATTCAGTGGGCAAGTTCTTTACGTATTGTTACGCCGGTAAGAGTAACGCCATCTGTCGCCGAATAGTCGAACGAATATCGAAGGACCTAGAACGCTCGAGAAGTACAAAGCAATCTATTGTCAGATAGCGGAAACTACTACTAGAGATGTGTGGAATATTCTCGATAATTCTAGGGATGAGGTACCTATCGACTATAAAAGCGTTGTAGAGATGGCACGCGGTCAGTCAGCGAGCGGATCACCTGAAGCGAAGCGGACAAGCGAATTGAGAGTTTTAAAGTGTTTGTTGAGTGTTTTAAGTGTTAAACACAGCTTTTAAGTTGTACTTTGGTGATATTTTATTTATCCCGAACCCCAGCGCGTAACAGTATGTACGTTGACCGTAACGGGGTATAGTAATTATTTTTTTTCGTTTCTCCCGACTCCCTCCATGACCATGCATACTGTTCACGCATCTGCCATGCTGAGGTGTCGATTCTTGAAATTATTGTATCTGTTTTTTATTATTGGTATTATTGTGTAAATTTTCGCCACCAATAGAACTATCGAGCTGCGTGTGACGCAAGAAATGTGTGCGGTTGCAATTGGTTCAGACTGTTGTTCCCTGATCCCACTATCCTATAAAACTGTACCATTACTGAATCAGAAATACACACACGAACTTGTTTTTCAAATAAACGCATCTTTTAATTTAATTGAAATCTCAATGCCAGAAATATTAAGGCAATTTCAATTGCGGAAAATCTCATTGCCACTACACATCCTCCTCCTCCTTGCGTCGATAATCCTCAATTCTGAGGGCCGTGGCCTCATGAAGCTTTCTTGGGAAAATACACATAGGGTTTCCGCGTCCTTCCACGGTTTTTGGAAGAGATTTAGCTCTTCAAGGCCGCTGAAGCCTTATTTGGGTCCGACTAATTAACCGCCGCCAGACATTCGGCGTTGACTGTTTTACGGTGGAAAGGTCGAACTCCAACTTAACCCTCCTCTTTTCTCATCCGGGCTTGGGACCGGCATTGGCAGAGTTATTATT